AATGGCAGTCGCCGGGCCGCTGAGCGGCCAGGGTGGGGTGGAATCGAAGTCGCCGAGGCTGCCCCGATGCAGTAACTTGGGGCAGCGAGCAGCGATGCTCCGAGAAGCGCCATCACGATCTGATCACCTCACGAGATGCAGGTTTTCCTGCTAAATTTGGTGTTGCTCCTTGTTTATTTCGGTCGGATTATTTTGTGTTGCTCCTTTTCTATTACGGTATGGCGAGACTGAGACAAATATTGGGCGGGAGAAGGTTTTCTCCAAGGGGTACAAAGCTTCGCCGTGCGCGCTGTGGTGTTATGCGCCGCATTTGCGTGCGTTGAATCTCCGCGGACTTCCAAGTGAAGATCGTGATTAACTTTTGTACAGGCGTTCCATGGTCAGGCACTGACCGCAGAATAAGGCGGGGTTCCTATCGCTGCTTTCTGTCCATCGTGGCAAGGTATCGCACCGAAAGAACCGCTGACGGCGACTTGATTCTGTTCATCATTAAAAACGCCGCGCCTTGACATTTCCAGCAGCGTGAAGCTCGGCGGCTTCTGTGCCGTCTCCGTGGCAGACTGCAGACCTAGGAGGCCTTTCATCCATTTGGGACGAGCCATGTCTGCGGCAGGGGTCGCCGCCCAGGCGGCGTCCAGGGAGGTCAATACCAGCCAGCTGGCACGCCCAGGAGGTCGGCTGACACGGACCGATGAGCATCGCCTGTGCCGCGCTCAGATCGACCTGGTCACCTGGCGTGAAAACCACCTCGCCCTCCTGGAGGAGCAGCCTAGACCGGCGCCGCAGCGACGTCGGCAGGCCGGTGGGGCACCTCCTGACCCCCGCACGCTGTCTGTCACGAGAGCGCAGCCTGAGCGCCGGCAGCCGTCGGCCCATCCCCGAGACGGGGACTGAGGCCCGGCCGAGGCCCCAGAGACGGCCGGCCGCCTCGCGCCGAGGCGGTCCCGAGATTCCGCGGTCCGCGATCGAGCGCGGCTGCGCGACCCTGGCGGCGAGCTGTCGGACGGTGACCTGGCCTCGGCGCTGGAGGCCGCCGCCGCCCGGCCGCTCCGTCGGGCCGCGCCGAGTCGGCTCGTAGCAGCCCCTGACACTGGCAGGCCTGCTCGCTGGCCGCGGCCGGTTGATATGGTCGCCGGAGGTCAGTGCCGGCGGTTCGCCCCGGTCGAAGACGGCGGCAGGCTGAGAGAGTCGCGAGGGGTCTGCAGTCGGCGTCGGTGGCGTGCCCCGGTTGACGACAGCGGTGGGCTGAGGGGTCGCCGGGGGCCTGCGGACTGCGGTTGGCGCCGGTGGCGTGCCCCGGTCGAGGTTGGCGGCGCAGGCTGAACGTGTGGGAGAAGTGCTGTCGAACTGCCGGCCGGACGGACGGCGAGGCGACTGGCGGTGCCATTGCTCACTGCCTCTAGGACGTTGATTGACGAGACAGCGCTCCCCGCCACGCTGTCCGAGCTTGATGTGCCGGTTGATCGGAGACACTCTATGTCTGCTGCCGGATTCAGGTTCACTGCTGTGTAGTGAACGCCTGGGCAGTGTAACTTCAGGTTTTCTGGGCAAGCCGCTGGTGGCCCCGAGATACATTAATGCAAGCCAATCAGGAACCACTGAAATGTCCTTTGCGGCGTGGGTTGAGCGAGGGGAGAATAGCCGACGGTGTCGTCAACATGTTGATGGTGACACGCGTGGGTCTGATCAGTGCACTGGAATACCTCTGTTCTTGGGCCGGCGAGCACTGCCGTTGAATGCTCACGCACTAATTTGCAAATGGCATTGCTTTAAGCAAGATTACTTGGCCTACAGGAAAGACATTTCGTGACGCAGCTGTTTCTGACTAATGTGAATGCTTGGCTTTCGTGGCGTAGCTGACTCCGATCCTACACGCTCAAGACCATTTGGTACAGCCCAAAGCTCTAGGTAATGTGAAAAATGGAAACATTTCTGTGTGTATATTGGTCGTGATAGCTGGACCAGGCGCAAGCGTAGTTCGCTCGGCTCAATCTCGGCCTGGGCGTGCCCGCATCTGACAGCGTTTCCGGAAAAGGTGGCGTTGACCGTTTCCCGGTGGACTTGTTGGAAACCTATGGCTTGGGCATGGCTGAGGCAGCCTCGCTCTTTGTATACGATACGTTCGCACACGCGGTGCATTTGATTTCAGGTCCTTATGTGCTCTGGTTGCACGCGTCGATCCACGCTTTTGCCTTGATGACTGTGTTCTCTTATCTCACAAATGGTGTTAGTTTCGTATTGCTGCGACGCCGTCGCCGACATCTGGTCCGGCTGGACCCATGTTGTCTAGCTTTTTTGGCGGGTGCCGAATTATACGTCCCCCGTGTTCATAGAATATAAAACGGATAAAGTTGTTAAAAAGTTGTTAAAGTTGATAAAGTTGATAAAGTTGATAGAATATAAATGCATAGCTCAAATTGAAATGTCGCGAGCAAATCTTACCTAAATGAGCAGGTTGCATGCAAATATGTAAGCCATTTGCTTTTCTCTAAAGATATTGTCCGAACATTTCGAACGCATGGATTTCTGGGATCAGAGCTCATGCTAAACAATGCTTGTTGTGTAAGCCCTCATCGCTGCCATCCGATCACGTAATTCCAGGTTATCGGCAGAATTTGGTGGTGAAAGTTCAACGAGCCGCTATGCTCGGCACGGCGTGCCCTGCCTTCTGTCACGTGACCTTTCGCTCGTCCGCTGCCACCGGTCGCAGACCATACTTGTCAAGGGCAAATGGTGAGCGCCCAAAGCGACTCGAACCCACCCCGCCACGGGCGGTCGAATCGGAAGGCAGGCTCTTTCACCAACTGAGCGATCGGCACGGACAAAGTTCCACAAACGTTTTATATCAAGCCGTTGAAGAATTGCGTTTCGCGTCGCTGAACACGGTAGACGGCCACGATCGGTAGTTATGAGCTGAAATCTAGACAGCATGGCGGCGGGGCTGGGTTTCTTGTAGTGAAAATGTATTGCTGTCCAATTCCGCTTCTCTTGCTCTCGGCCCCGCTCGTATTGAATGTTCGCTGACGTTCCACCATTACCAGTTAGCGAATGACAGGCTATAAATTGCTGACTGAAAGGCCTTACGCTGTAAATGCATGCCGGTGTTGAAGACGCCTACTCGTTTTTCACGCGCTACATCACATTGGTTATGTGTCAGACAGCTTGGTAAGAGTACAATGTAGCCCGGAGTGGTCCAAAGACGCCATCCGTTTTCTTTTAGTTTCGCCATTCCGGGAAAATTTATGAATGTCGCAAGAACTGCGGTTCTGATCAATGTTTCGTTGGAAAATAGACCTGATCGACTTAGCCGTTGATATTTAGTTAAAAGGGCTCCCCACCAACCTTGTTATGGTCTTCACTTTCAACCTTGTTTCAGGTTCTACATCTGACCTTTCATGAACTCCCCATCCAACTTTATTATCGGCTCCACGTCGAACCCTGTCTTGTCTTATTTAGATGTAATTTGGGCAATAATTATCATTGTCTTATTGAAGTCCGGAAGACCCGGACTTCACAGGGCGTCAGTCGTAAGTTAACAGACAAATCCCTAATCATTGCTTACTACAACAACCGACTTCAGCAAGACTCACCCTGCGAGCAGCACATTTGAAATAAACGTTCTATCATAGGTGTAAACAATCGTATTTGTTGGGCATGCGTTCATAAATATTAAGTTTTGAAAGGCATTTTTCTGTACTGCATAGGCGTATTATCAGATATAGATGCAAGTACGTACTAAACGGTTTATTTTCTTGGCGCAATGTGTGACGTTCTCCACGATCCCCGTCTTGTTCCGCGACCTTGTTGGTTAATTTGTGTGTTTTATCCAGGAGCGAGTTTGTCCATACCAGGATGTGCTTCTGACGACTTGGCAGGACGGTGCTGCAACCAGCTGAACTGTCGGGGCAGACGAACGGCTTAGTCTCTCAATCGGTCGGGTACTTAAGCCCCACCCAACTTGGGCTCTTCCCATGCCCATGTAAAGGGGGTTTGCTAAGTTCCTAAAAAAAAACATGCTTTCTACGTATTTCGGGGTACGCGTCTTCATTTTGCACTTCTCAGCCCCTCCCCGCCCCCGCCCCAACTCATTTGGCGAAACTTTGCCCCTGGGACAGACTTTGCAACGAAATCCGTTATTACATCCCAGCGTCATTTAAAACGTCTCTTAACACGATAGCGGCGCCATTCAGGGGCCGACTATTACAGATTGCAGGGAGGTCCAGTCGAAAGGAATCCTTTAGGACCACGGAGGAATTCAGGTCCAAAGAACATCAGAAATCCTTTGAGCATTCAAAGATCTGTCCAGCTGATCGGACAGCTACCCCGGACGTCACTCTGCCGCCTCTCACAAGAGATTGGCTTAAGCTGCAGTACCGCCCGCCAAATCCTGAGTCAGAGCGCGTCCCTACAAAGTGTGCAGCAGGCTGAGCTTATTAGGCTTAGACACAGAGGGCCGGAAGTTCTGCTCGGGGCTGATGAACAATGCCAGGAATGAGATGATCTGCAGCGGCGGAGTCATGGCTATCTCAATGGCGTGGGGACATCAATGAGACCGCTCCACGCTGGTTTTTCACGTTTTGACAGAAGCCATCTGTGGTGGAAAATGAAGCCAAAGCGGGCCCAAGTGGGCGTGCGTGCGTGCGTGCGTGCGTGCGTGTTCGTGCGTGTTCGTGCGCGTGCGGATGGGGGGGGGGGGGCGGTGGCCCTCGCATGGTTGTGCCCATGTCTCCTGGAAAGAATCTTGTTTTCGGACAAGTTGACAGTGTCTGCATACGCCCATGTGTAAGGTACATGTTAACAGTGACTGCATACAGTTTTTGTAAATTCATCCAATCAGAAGTTCACATGCGAGTGCAGTCAGCCCATCATGTCGGCGGACTCACCCACATGCCTCGCCCACCTCACCCCCACCACGTCCACACGTGTGCCACACCGCTGCACGGGGCCAGCGCGCACAGCTCGCGGACCACGCTCGGACCGGCGCCCGCCCGTGCCCACAGACAACATGTACCAGCGGCGGAAGGTGCTGGGCCGACGGCGGGACGCCGGCGGCGGGCTGCAGCTCAACAGACTGCGCGGCTCGGCCGGCGACATCCTGACCGAGTACAACCCCAACTACGAGTTCGGCGGCGCCCTGCCCTGCACCGTCAAGGACCTGCGCGAGATCCCCCGCCAGAACCTCACCCTGGTCAAGTGAGTGCGGCGCGGCGGCGGCGGCAGGGAGGGTGCTGGGAGCGAGGCGGCCGAGGGCGGCGGCGCCGCGCGGCTGGCCGACGTGTGTAGGCACCGGGTGCTGACAGCCCCTTTTAGCATGATTAGTGGGGCTCGCGAGAACCTCACTGACATTTCGGACGTCTCTAAGGTATGCAGGGGCAGTGTTGGAGGTTTCGTGTCTTGCGCGGCTGACGTCGGCATGCGCTGGGCGACATTGGTTTAGTTTTGGGTATTTAGAACACGTGATGGGACTCCTGTCTCCTGTTCTTCCCGAAGACGTTCCGCTGAGCGTATTTAACGTGAGAGCTCTTTTTAGCGAAGGTGATGATCGTGATGGTGGAATGGTGGTGCTTCATGTGGTGTGTGGAAACTTGCCCTTTTCGGCCAATTGAATCAAAGCAACCGAGAGTCCACGTCGGTTTTTTTGCAAAACAGGCTTGCTATAAAGCATGTGCGAATTACGGTGAAGGTGATGATTCAAAGAGTTGAGAAAAGCACTGCACTACAGCAAACCGCCAGGAGCTTGTTAAAGCATGGCCTGGGTGGCTTTAAAGCTCAAAGGGCACGCTGAAAATGCCTGCAAAGTAGTTAAAACGCTGAAGTCGAAGCTGTGCATGTTAACGTGATTTGGAAACGCCTGACATAGGTTATAATGAACCCTTTGAACTCACTACATATGCAAATGTCCTTCCAATGTCGTTTCATCTGTGGTTTGCAGACCCTCACATTCTTCCTTTCATGTCAGATTTTGCCATGGCTGCCATGTGGGCTGCACCTTGCCTCAGCCGCGCCCATGGGTCTTCACATGCCCTCTGATGCCAGCTGGGTGTCAGGTGGCATCAACGATGGCTTTGAGCCTCTGCCAGTGACGGCGAGGTACCCTCGTCATCACCGCGTTCTGGCCATTACCGCCGTTGATTACATGGGCTCCGCCGGTCGAATGTTGCAAGTGTTGCAAGTTTTGCAGCGCCACTTTGCCATGAGCCGTCTTAATGATTGCAAGCTCACCTGTCCGAGCGGACGGGGAGTTTCGCTTGTCAAACGGCCGTCCGGGAGCCGATTAATTAAGTGCTGACACCTGGTAGCAGCTTGCCAAACGTGCGCCTCCGTGCCGTTCCGCTGGGGCCCAACGAAGCATACCGCCGCCGTTCGTCAGAAATCGATGACCGAAGACCTGGCGCCAACGTCTCGGACCGGGAGAGCCGCTCGGACGTGGTGCTGACGGCCGGGACCGGGTTGGGCTGGCAGGCGGTGTCGCCAGGGGGCGCTGATGCTGGCTGTGGCTGGCGCACCTCCGCGCGCCGCGGCTGTGTCGGCTATATCGGGCTTGACACAGCGGGGCGCCCGCCCCCGCCGCAGCAACAGCGTGGCTGCAGTCTGGTTTGCATGCCGGTCCAGTGAGCTCAGGAGGACGGGGAGCTGGCAGGAGCCCGCGGTGCCTCGTAGCGCTCCTGGAATGGGCCTTGGGACGCTCATGACTACATTTGGCACGTGCTGACAATTTGTATTTCGTAATATGCAACCGTGTCATTTCGTTTTCCATCTCTGGCCAGTTTTGGTGTGCTGAGATATGACCTGAGCTCTGGTGGGTCGTTTCACGATTACTTTCGGACTTTATGGGTGCGCGCGCGTGCCTATCCGAGTGCATGTGTTTGTGGTCGATGCGCACGATGTTTACCCCAGCCCGGACTCATTACATGGTAATGAAGCATCCAGGCAGGATGGCGCTGACGGTCCGGGACCCGGGTGCAAAGCTCTGCCGCCACTAATCTTTTTAGGTTTTTTTATGCACGTATCTCCGTCAGAGCACAGTGTTTTTGCCCTGGCTTCCGTAGTATGGTTATGCAAGCCGCTGCTATTGCATCCCAGTTTTTATCGCCTACCGGTGGTGAAAAATGTTTTGTAAAGAAATGTTTCTGGTCATCTTTTGATACTCAGGGTTGTTAAGGGGGAAAACACGTATTTATATATATATATATATATATATATATATATATATATATATATATATATATACATATATATATATGTATATATATATAGATAGATAGATAGATATATATATATATATATATATATATATATATACATATATATATATATATATATATATATATATATATATATATATAAGCAGTGTATATGAGCAAGGTATTTTCCCTCGAATGACGACTGTAGAAAACCCGTGTGTGAAAAAAGCACGGCGAGGGTAACCACAGAGAAAGCGACAAGGGACGCTTGCAGGTAATGATTTAGCGAGAAGATCGAGTGAGTAGGACTGAGGCAGCAGTCGGCACTGTCTGCGTTAAATACTGCGCGTCTGAGAAACCTGAGGTACGGGGTTCGATTCCCTGCGGTGCCCGCCCTTCCTGCCAGGGTGAGAGGCAGGCGACGCCATATAGCCTCAGCAGCTAAGTGCGTCGTGAAGTACCAATGACACACACACACACACACACACACACACACACACACACACACACACACACACACACACACACACACACACACACACACACACACACACACACACACACACACACACACACCACACACACACACACACACACACACACACACACACACACACACACACACACACACACACACACACACACACACACACACACACACACACACACCACACACACACACACACACACACACACACACACACACACACACACACACACACACACACACACACACACACACACACACACACACACACACACACACACACACACACACACACAACACACACACGCACACGCACACGCACACGCACACGCATACGCACGCGCACGCACACGCACACACACACACACACACACACACACACACACACACACACACACACACACACACACACACACACACACACACACACACACACACACCACACACACACACACACACACACACACACTCACAGCACAGTCGGTACGTCATGGAGAGACAAGGGAGTCCTCTGTTCGAGTGAGCCTTGAACGGCACGAAGTACAGATCAACTCTGCTGGTTCCCGACTGATCGTGCCGTACATCAGCCTTCCTGGGATATTGGCAGGCATCATGTAGCGCGTTAAATGTCCGTCGTCTTGTCGCTGACTGTTATTGCGTCGTTGTGTCAACGTGTCAACGTGGTCACTGTGTAGACCACTGGCCGTCGATAGGGAACGTTACAGGGTGTGCGTTCGCTGTTTCAGGGAACTGGGCAAGGGTGCGTTCGGCCAGGTGTACCAGGGCTACCTGAAGAACTACGTCAGTGACTCAGTGGAGATGCCGTGTGCGGTCAAGGTCAGTCAGCGGAGCCTCGCGTCCGGTCACAGAATGACTCAGTGGACCTTATATCATGTGGAGGTTTGGCACGGATCGTGTCATGCTATGATTAGCTTTCTTGGCGTGGCTTTGGATGGTAGCTGCGGACTCTTTACGATCCCTGTCTCTAGTAAGCCAACAGAGTCGGGCAGATGGTCTAACGTCTCTAGCCACCGTCCTGACAGATACAAATCCAGTGTCATAAAAAACTTATGGGAACAGGGCGATTAACTAATTTTCATCGTGCAAGATTTTGCACGTAGAGGTGCGGAGAGTAAAGCAAATGTTAGCAAACAACAATTACCTATTCAATCCATCGGCAAACGTACGCGTGACGCAATCACTAAACACGTCCCAAGCCCGCACTGGCACTACTACAGACGGGCCAGTCCGCAAACTGTACGACAAGAACAGCATGTCACTGGCCTATAACGCCGATGAAAAGGTCATCGGATCAGTTGTCAGGGGACACTGTAAGCCAGCGTCCCCAAGGGAACAGTTGTGGCTAATTATCTGTTATCAAAATCCTACGACACGTTCCCTATTATGAAAAACGACCTGACCCGTAATGCGTCTCTACTGGAGCAATGCAATGTAATGTACAGTTACAAATGCCCTCTTGGAGACTGCGCGCTTCACCCGAGCTGTAACTACATTGGATTGACGACCACCTCACTCAGTAGACGCATCACAATGCTCATTCCCAGCGGCGCCCCAAACATATACGGAACCACACCTTGACCAGCGACTCACCAGACAGCAAATGGTACATAGCATCTCGATCGTAGACAGATGCCACGACGTCAGACGGCTACATGTGCTCGAGGCCGTATAAATACGCGACATGGACCCATCTATCAACAGACAATTCAGAGTGCAAGGAACCCTATCTGTATACGAAGGGGTAGTATAATTATTGTGATATGCTTGTATATATTGGCTAAAAAGGATCGATCGCAGGCAGTTGGGCCACAGAACGGACCTTATATGCCGAAACAGTGTAACTGAGGAGAAGAACTTGAGTGGGAGGCGATTTAACAGTTTCCGTTAGATTCCATGATTTTTGCCCTAAAGTAGCCTCTGATGACACCCAGCACGCACGGTGGGTTTGCGAAAATGAAAAAACTGCACTGGCGGTTTGTAAATTGCCTTTTATTTTAGTTGAGTTGGTAGCACCTGCTCCCTCCACACGGTGTATGTAACGATAAAGTATTGTTTTATTCTGCTACCCGCACGTGCGTTTCAATCTTTGACTACTATGGCCACGGACCGTGAAGAAATAGGGACAATTTGTGTCGTCTGTTTGTGGCCGTGATGAAGACCAGGTACACGCATGAGTCGCACCTATTTCCATTATTACAGTTCGCCAACTGGATGAATTTCAAGCTGTTGGTGAGGAGATTTTGTGTGTGATGTCAAAACTAAACCTAATCCCTAGTATATCTTATACATTCTTGAACCGAAAAAGACTGTACTGAATCGTAATCCAAGCCGATGTAAAATACGCCGCTTCCGCGATTTGAGATCGGTCTTGTTCTCGGATATTGGTGGAAGCCGTCGTCCAGTCTTATTAGTTTCATATTTAACTACTTGATGTCATGATCAGCCAGTTCCGGCGCAGGGTCAGGACTTCACGGCGACATGACTGATGCACGGCATTAGTATGGAACCAAGGAAGGGTCATAGCTCCAAAACTGTTACCAGTTTAAAGCCTGCCTGGAAACCTCGGTGCGATCACATATAACCTAAATAGGTCAGCAAGCCGGAAACTGTTGCCAAATTTGCCAGCGAAGTCATGCCAAGATTTGGCGGGTGTCAGATGCCGATGTGTTCGTAGACCGCAGTGTATTCGTTTCCAGCATTCGGCCGAGCTGGGATTAAGGTCGGCGCCGGGTCAGGTGAAAGGTGCTCCGTTGCCTCCGCCCGCCGTCGGAGCCCCGTTCGTCAGCCCACCCGGCGAGCTCGCGGCCAGTGGGCGGAGCCGAGCGGTGACGTCATATGCACGCGCCGCCCCAAAGGGTCGTTCGACTTGACCTGGATGGAGGCTGGAGGGTGCGGTGGTGCCTGGCCTGGTGTCACAACAGGCACTCTTTCGTTGGCCGCACGCATGCGGCATGAGGTGACGGACTCTGCTCACATGAGTATCATTCACGGCCCGGGGTGGAACCCAAGTCAGACCTGGTGGTGACCTTTAGACTGAGCATCTTGCGTCACAGTCTGTGGGCGGCAATCGGCCTTTGCAGTTCGAGTTCTCCGGACGCCGTTTGCCTCTTTTTTCGCGGCATGGTCGGTTGTGGTCAGTTTCTGAAATGCAGTGCGCCCTGCCCGAACCTCAACGATAATGCAGAGTAAAACGTCCTGATCAGCGTACTAACGCGGGCTGGAACAGAAACAACCACATGCACGGGTACATTTAAGCCCCGACCAAGGTAAAGCAAACCGATACCTGGCCGGGAAGCCTCGGCTCAAGCGTCTCCAATCCCCCGTGGCGTAGCTGTTGGCGACGCGCCGAGGTCACGTGCTCCCTGACCCGTACGTGAAGGTCAAGTCAGCACGCCTCCTCAGCATTTGAAGTCCGCCGTGCCGGTCACACAGTGCACAGCAAGGCGGGTAAATGACAGGAGCTGCGCAATCACTGCCAGGTGAAGGTCACGTGGCTGATCCCGTGAGACAGCCGGTGAGCCGGTGAGGCCATTCTCGGCTGATACCTCTCCCTGCTGTCCTGAACGTCGGCGCACATGGCCAAGGGTAGCTACGAATTATGTTTCGCTCCACGCGCGGAATTTGAGGCTAAACTCCTGGTGCGACAGAAGCTTAATTATCGCTCTTGTACTTGTACGCATGCAGCATGTCGAACGAACACAAAAACAACCATGTTTTCCCACGACCCACATACGTCCCTGGTAACCGGCATCCCACACCCGGCTCCCGTCAGGGGTCCCAACGGCCAGCGGTCGGGTCAACCAGGAAGTCCAATGAGTGGTGTTAAATGCATTCAGCAGAAGTAGAGACATAAATCACCCTTGCAACGTAGCGAGCCTTTTCACGCCTTTCCAAAGTGTCAGCTCGTTTGCTTAGAGAAGCAATGCCGCATTGCCTGTGTGCACCACCCATTTACTTGCCATTCTGTGCTCTTTCCCGTCCAAACATCGCCTTTTCCTAAGTGGATGCAATTTGATATTTTTTCATCGTCAGAATCAGTGGAAATCTGGAGAGCAAGATTCGAAAGCTGGATAAGAGCTCATGTTGTCATGGTGACCAGGTCGAGGGGGGTTTCAGCGGAATGCCTCGACTGGTGCTCCCGAATGATGTATTTTGCCGCTTTGGTGCGCCTCATCAGCTTACACGCGTGACGACCTGGCGCGGCATCGCTCATCGCGGCACCGTTTGCTTCTCATAACCCAAATACGTCCCTGAAAGCCTGCCAGTGCATCACAACTGGAGCTCGTCATGCGTCACAACAGGCAGAGTTTGGGTCGACCAGAATGACCGCTTTTCCGATGATGTCCATTTTATGTCCATGGTCCCATTCATGATATCCTATGAATCGCGTTGAATGCGTGCAGAAAAGATGCAAAAACAACTTGTCCATAGAACGCCACAGGTCTTTGATGCGCTTTCAAAGAGTCAATGTCATTGCTTGGCGAAGCAGGCCCGCAAGCACTTAAAGCCATTGGTGAACACCGCAAGCACATATGTCGTTGATGCATACAGCGCATGGCTGAAATGGAGCAGTTTATGTGCTCAAACGGTAGGATTTAGGGGCGGCGTGCGTTGTAGTTTTTTAAACTACTTGCTGCTTACAAATTCTGCTTTATCTGTCGATTTAGGCATGTGCCTTATGAAATGACCTACGCAAAAAGCAAATATGCTGCCTGCTAAATTATTGTTCTGTGGTGTCGGTATTAAACCACCCGTTAAATGTTTCTTGTGACATAACTCCTAATGGTTTCGGGCTATTGCAGTTGATTAAAAAATCGGCTGCAACTGACAGTGTCGAAATATAGAAATGCTGCTCATATGTTGCTGAAATGCAAGCTGATCGCGGAATGTGACAGTTTCGTGACTAACATTGGCTTTCCACCACCGATCGTCGCCACTCAGACACGGTGGCGAGGTCATCGGAACAGCAATGCACGTGACATTGCCCCGAAAGGTACCCTTGATAGGGCCGTTTGTAGTTGCGATGTAATCAAAGTGGCGTTATCAGATCATGGATCGTTGATTCACTGCTACCTTCATTTCCACTAACACATTTAGTTCCCTTTCTTATTTACTACATGACAGTAGATGTTCACGATGAACACACGTGGGCCTTGGTACCACAAAATAGCTATAGAGACTATGCAGTTCACTCAGTTTGCTTGTCGGGTCTTTCCATCCCATGATGCATGTCCAATGACTACGTTCAATTTTTTCCCTATGTCCACCTTTATCCACCTTTATGCTAATCCAGTTTTCCATGCCTTTTATTGTCTATTCGGTATCTTATACTCGACCTTTTGTCCCTCGAGCGAAAGGGCCTGCCACTCCCTCCCAGCTGCCTTGCATGCAATGCTGGACAGATGGTTTGGTATTCTCTGACACAGTGACATTCCCGTTCACTATACATTTAATGAAATCACACCAGATAACCTACGCTAGTTTATACGACATGCCCGCTTTGATTTTATAGTGCCTGCATTTCCCCGTCTCTGTCCCAAACATTTCTCTCGTGTAGAGCTCTTCTTTGAATGAGTAACATTTATTACCACAATTCATCTGAGACACGATCCCCACATCAACGGCTGCACCTAAATCAAGCGGCGATCGGGCGCGCGCGCGCATCTGCCGTCCGGCTCAGCTGACCCGCGCGGCCAGAGGCGGGCTCAGGCACTGGGCTGGGTGCGGCGGATTTTAACACATCTCACAGACACTGCAAACTGTGGCGTATGTAAGCATTAACAGAGAGGAGCAAACAAATTCAGACGGGCGCCATG